TGGCAGATTACATCTTGACCTGATGAAGGTCAAGCTCCACTCCCCCAGAACCATTCTCTTTTAAAACGTTCTATAGGTAATGCATTATACAGATAAATGCTTTCTATAAGGTAAGCTTGTTATCTACATATGTTTCATGGAAATACGAGGCATAAGCAATGATTGCCAATGATTCTTTACTCTCTGATCTGGCAGACAAAAGGCTAAATGAAGCTGGATTTACCAGCTTCAGAAAAACCAATTCCATCAGGTTCTGTTGTATCTATAAGTACCACTTGGTGGTGCAAGCATTCAAAAAAACACTAATTGCTTTCCAGTTTATGGATGTCTTTTTAACTCATTGAGAATCAGAGCGATGTGACACCTGTTTCAGAACATCCCAAGTTGATAATAATCTAGCCGAACTGGAGAAATTCTTTAAATGTCCTGTATTATTATTTAAAGGGTGCTACCATTTTAGATTGTAAGCTCACTTAACCAGGGCCCTCACTGCCTCTTTTCCTGTAATTTAAACTTGCCTTGTTAAATGCATTTGTTTGTCTCATCCACATAATCTACAAAATAATTTGGCACAATATACGATAACTATAAATAGAATTATTATATATCAAAGACCATGCTTCTAACACATCTTACTGGTGCAAGCAGATGTACATACTTTTAAAGCCCTAATACCATGCTCAGATTTAAATCAGAGAGATTTAATGTATTTAAATGTTCGGTTTTATATTTAACTGGTTGAATTCTGGTACAGTGCTGAAAGCATTGTCTGGCAATATGCTGGGCACACCCATGCCATCCAGGGGTTTAAAGATAATAGACTGACTTTTTCCAAAGGGATCTCTAGAGACTTTATAACGTGACAATCCTAAATTAATTATTTTCCAAAGGGATCTCCCTAGAAAAATTAGAATGTGACAATCCTACAATAATTATTTTCAACCAGATCTGATTAAATATCTAGAAGGGAGGGCTGTCTATTTGATAATCAGGTCCAATTCTACATTTCTGAAGCATTTCTTTAATTCATATGTATTCGGGCTGAAATATATATGCAAATATAATTTATAAACAAATAGGTTTCCTTTGTATGTTGCGTTAGATCGAATAGAATGATAGTTATTCCTTATTGCCGTCATGTAAATTGTCTGAAATACAAATATGACAGTTTCAGTTAATCAAAGTGTGCTGTATCAGTACTGGCAAACGTGGTCTCCCACAATCCCATGTGCTGGTTACTGTGGGTTTCTCTGCTCAGGAAATGTACCAAGTCCATATGTCAGATCCAGAGCCACATTTTGTGCGTGCAGAACATATAATGACTTTATTTGCTGGCAGATCTGCGGCTGATAGATTCTCTTTAAATGTGATCAGTTCTAGAGCTCTCAGCAGAGATCCTTCTATTTATTTACATAGCTCGAAATATATCACTGCGCATCCAATACAGCTCCTTTAAAAATGTCTTTAAAATATTTTTTTTTTTAGATGAAGGGAAAAAAAGTTTAAAAAAAAATATTTCTTTATAGGGAAAAGAAAAAGCATAGCCCCCAAGCCATTAAATAATGCATACATATGACAGATAGGAAGTGAAGGCTCTCCAAACCGTGCAGTGCCGCATGGATAATAGACGTTATGTAATTTTTAAGAAGGATCACAGATGGTTTTTAAATAATCTGTAGCTTCCCTCTGGCAGATGACTTTTAAAAAAAACATTTTTTTTTTATTATAAAGCGATGAGTATACAGTGCGGCTCACAGACCCTTCTAGCCATCATTTTAACAAAATGGAATAATAAAGTAACCCTTTAGGGTCATTATGTATTGCTCAGCCATGTCATACATCCCAAGTGTCCCTTCTGTAGGAGAGTCAGTCCCTATTTCAGAGCCTCTTTATGTTTTGGCATGAGGTCAGGTTTTTAGAGATTTAAAATTTGGGTCGGCTGAGGGTCGGATTCACGTGAGGCTTAGAGTCCAATGATAGACAAGGTCTGGGTCAAAACCCATGCCAGGATCACTGAGTTCTTTTTTTATAACCTATTCCTCTATATTTTTAAATGATGACCATCTGAGAATGTGTTACCGATCTCCTGGTGAATCAAGTGCCTCAATTCAGGATATATTCAGGGGAGACTTAAGGGATTTAGACGTCATATGTAAAAATATTTATAGTGACTTATCTCTAATATGAGTTTAATCATAAAAATGGCAAAATATGTAACATTATGTTCAATAGGTTTCCAAGCCTTCCATTCCCTTAGATAAATGCGTGAGTGGGGGCCTAGACTGCTGATTTACTTATTAGACCCATTTTGGCCTCCTCTCTCTCTCATTTTATTTGGCATTGTCCTCTTTTCGTCTACATGCCAGCTCCACCCATGTCATCTCACCTCTCCATATCAACATCCTTTCTCTATTTAAACTCACACAATCCTTTGTTTTACCTTCTTAAAAAATTATTTGCTGCCCCCACTAACTCTATCTCCCAGTTCCATACTAACAACCCCCCTCGCCCCCAACAAATCTCCAACAGTTTTTCCAATTTCTACAAGGTCTGTTTCACTATCTCAATACCAGTTCTACCAGTAAATCTCTTTTGGGCCGGAGCCTCGTGTGTGGTCGGTCAAATTAGGATCTCCATGGAAATCCCAAACCCCTGAACCGATCTGGGTGATTTTTGGATATGTGATGTTTTACTTTTGTGGGTTTTCCATGTGTTTTAGGGGTACTTTTGGGAGGTTGTTAAAATGAATGTTGTCTGTGCCTGGAGATAATTGAGTTTAGTACAGCTCCTGACTCAATTATCCCTCAGGCACAGGGGAGGGATTATCCTGTTTTGTGTGGGAGTGTCCTGGACCTGAGAGCCAATGTCATTACAGTGTGTACTTTGTCACAGTCCCCTCTCAGGTCCAGTGGGGAATGCCCCTGGAATATGCTATGGAAAACCCCTTGCATGGGGACTTGCATATAAGGCCAGTTGTGGCTTCCATTAAACAGTTCCTCTTCACCCTTAACTGCTGTATCTGCTCTGGGGATTGCTATATCACTATACTCCCCTGGGTTATAATCACTTGCCCTTATAAGAGCACCCTGCTCTACTCTCTGGTTCAGAAGAGGTCTGCCCACTGGAAGCTAGACCCTGGTCTTGGGTCCAGGGTGGGTGGAGGACAGCAAGACCCCAACCAAGCTGTAACCGCATAACTATGGTGGTTATGGTGTCCGGTGCAGTGCTTATGGTACTCAAGGATTACTAGGAAGCAGCTAATGGTGGAGGCACCCAGTTGGGGTGCCTGGCGGTCCGCCACATTCTCTCCTTGCTATTAAAACTTTTCCTCATCTCACTACTTCATATCAGCTTTGCTGGACTCTACTTGGACTCTCTTCTCTTTTATCTCCTTCCCCAGTAGACTCTGCCTTCTTGTCTACCAGCTGGTTCTATTCCACCAGTGTGTGCTAATCTCAAGGCGACTTGCGACAGGTTCCCCCATGATGAAGATATCATGTTATCTTAAGGTACTTAATGAACAACATTCATTTATACCTCCATCACTGATGGTTATCTTGTAGGCAGACACCGAGTGCCACCTCCGAGGCCTCCAAGTGCCAGTGATCGCATCAATGCCATTAGTTCACCATCATTGAGCTACAGGTTTGGTTTATTAAACACTTAAGAACTAGAATTGAATAAAATCCTTTTTTATCCTGTTATGTTGAACTTGTCAGTGGTCGTTAAATGGTTAATTAAAATATATGTGTTTAATATACAGGAAAAGCCATGCTATGTATCACAAATCACGTGTCACAAGTAAAAATGCATTGAAAAAAAAATACAAAAATTCAAGGACATAAAAAAGAAACCTCTCAGAGCCATTCGTGCTGGGATGCGTGAGGGCGGAGGTAGGAGGGGCTTCCAGGCAAATGGAGGAGGGGCCAGGCAAGGAGCAGAAGTGACGCTCTTCAGGGCAAACGGGTAATGAATTTTCAGGCAACAGAGCCAAGGGGTTGTTTGAGAAGCAAAACTGTACAAATGAAACACACAGAAGGACAGATCATGACAAAACTAAAACACAATATTTTTTTCACTTATAATTTAACTCAATATTTTTTTTACCCATAACTTATATATCTATTGTTTTAAAAAGTCATCAGCCATACTTTTACCATTCTTTTCAAGAATGTTACTACAAGCTTCGCCATATAATGCTTCACAGATTATACAGTATCCATTATCTCGCAATATTTCAGCCAGCATCTGAAATATTAACAAGAAGAAATTACATTTTGTCACACACAGCCTGTGTGACAAAACATATGTTCGTGTATTGGTAAGGATGGCAGACTCATGGCAGAATCTACAAAATGTCTATATGTAGGCATTATACCCACAGCAGGTAGGGCTGGCTGGCCATGTAACTACTTAGGGCATTGCAGGATACTATTGCAACCTGCAAATATCTCCTATAATTCCCTCCCTTCCAGCAAAGCAAACAAACCCGCCCTGTGAAACACAGAGCTAGCAGGAATGGGATTTGTTAAATTTTTAAATAATAATGTATCCTTGGTTAATTTAGCATTTTCTTTATTCAATGGAAGCTAAAAACATGTGCTTTTATATATTTCCTTTGTTAATTTAGGTTGTTTAAAAATCCAAACAAAAAAGGCAAACAACTGTGATACTACCATAACTAATTACAAGATATTTCAACAGTTAAAAGAATTACTGTTATTATAGCACAAACACCGTTATCTCTAAAAACCAGAAACACATAAAAGTTATTTTCTGAACCCAAAGACAGAGGATTTTCCTTTAATATCGTTTAGTTTTAGTGGGTGGCATATTAATTAATAATTATAATCTGGTATTTATAAAATTGACATTTTTGTTTCCTAACAAACATGAGAAACAGCTGATGCAATGGGGACACGGACTGGAGCCAACTTATGCATTTTGCCAGCATTTTCAGAATCTTTTTTTTTTTTTTATTTGCAATGATGCTTTTTGCTGGAATAATGGATATTGTATTTCTGCCAAAACTAGTCCCAGGAGATTAAATGAGGACAAAACAAAAAGATAAATAAAAATTGCAATAATGAAGCGCTGGGATTAGCTTCCTTTTGAGAGACAGATATGATACGATTAATGACCTATAATAAATGATTTGAACAAAAATGCATAATTTTTTAGTGATCAAAAATACTTTTTTAATTTTAACCTGTGGTTTGGGACAAGCTCTCAAGATTTCATTATTTTTATTAAAAAAAAAATCTAAACTGGAATGTCTACAATATATAATTCTTCTCTATGCCTATAGAGGCATTTTATTCTGTCTCATCATTTTCTGGTCTGGTACGGTTTTAGAAGTTTGGAGCTGTCAGGATGTGGTGCGGTGTATTGCTGTACCGCCACTGTAACAGTAGCAGAATTTTCATGACAGGCGCTAATGCCTGAAGCTTAGACATAACTTTTTATACAATATACAAAAGAAAAAATTAAGAAAGAACAGAATTTCTTAAAGTGACCGGGATACTGTAATAAATCACCCTTAATGTGACATAGTTTTTCACGGCACCTGGGATGTGGCGGCGGGGGACATGGCTCTTCCCTCTATATCTGTCCTTGTGTCTTCTCCCTGCGGTAACATGAATGCCGGGCTTGGACTTGAATGACGCTGCCTTCTCATGAATGGGAAAACGCTGCAGGTGACAATGTGAACAAGATTGTGCAATAGAAAAATATTCAGTAACAGCCTACAGTCAGTCACTGGAAAGCATTACTAACAAAAATATGTATTTTGACTGTCTATTGTTTTTACACAAACCACTGCTCCCTAGAGCATGACAAGAAAACGTTATTCTAACAGCAACAAAAAAAAAAAGAACCAATGTTCTAACAGTCAACAGCATGAAAGATTCTTATTGGCTGTGAGGCACCATGATGTAATTCCAGCCAAAAGCAATCTACAACTATTTAATCAACGGTAATCTAATTGTATTTCTATTGGCTGTGAGGCTCTATGATATCACTCCAGCTGCTGGACATTTTCCTACTGGCTCTCGAGCACCTATATGTAACTCTACTCATTGGGAATCTGACTCAATCCAGCCATTGGCCATTCGGCAACATGAAGACCCTCTAGCCAATAGCAATCTGAGACTACCAAACTAACAATAATCTAGTTTCCTGTTGCCCACGGAACACCAATAAGCCGCTTTAACCAAAACACTGTTAAAGACTATCCAGCTAAAGGCGAACTAGTTTTCTAATATCTGGAGTGCAACATTTATAGAACTAAATAAGTCTTTCAAAATCTAAACTCAAAGAAAATGTCAAAGCACGAATTCCCCCCCCCCAGAATCAAATTGACCACTTTATTTGCATACTTCAGTTTTCTACTCACATACTTATCACAATAATACCCATATTTTCATTTACACAAACAGGGCTATTCACTAACGTCATAACTACCAAGAATTCAAACAGAATTTAACATTTTCGACTAGAATTGGTGAACTGGAAGCTTTGTTGATTGATAATTTTTCAGTCTCTGCTATTTTGGACTTTAAATTGGTGAAATTCACTTTGAAATCACTTGACATTCCTGTTAATTCTCATTTAGCAAATAAGCCCCTGGAAGAGTCCTGCTTTGCTT